ACCCATATGGGCATTGTATGGGTCAGCCCAGCAGGAGCCATGGGGGAAAATCGCTTTTTTGGAGGAAAATCGCTTTCTTTCGCCAATATTCGCTTTTTTTGAAAGTTATTTGAAAGTTAGACAAACTCTCTCCTTAACCCTGTTTATTTCGAATTGTAATTTTTAATGAATATTTTTATTTATGAAATTGTACCTTTTGCCACAATTGTACCTTTTTCTGATAGCTCTCGTTGCGAAAGAAATAGGTACCCGGTGCGATGCGCATAATTTGCTCATATTTGCAATTATCTTCGCCATTCGCCAACATGTATATTTTCGATTCTTTGTCCCTGAACCCATTTTACTTTTCCATAAATTGAGTCCTGTTTCTGTAATTCTGGGTTTCCTAACTCCAATTTTTCATAGAAATCAATGCGAATTATTATTTTCGATTCCTCTGACAAAGGTTTGGTCAGCCGTCTATTTTTTTATAAATTTTCTATTCTATCGTCTATATACCTTCTCGTTTAATACTACTCAACACTCTTTGCAATGGCTGAATTAGCTGTTTTGAATGCTTTGACTCGTAATTTTCGTTCATAAAGATTCATATAACGAAATCGTTTATGGTGACATTGGATAATAACTCCCAAAGATATTTATTTCTCTTTGCCGATTCTTCTTCTTTTTCTTCTAACAGCTCTCACCATTACTGGTTAGGCTGGCTCCAACGGCTACAAGGGTAAGACGCTTCCAAGCGGCGTGGTCTTATGCCATCGTCGACAGTAATGGAAGCCATTCTTTTTTCCATCGTCTAAGTCCATATATTACTGGTCCACCTATACGTTCAAAATCTTTTTTCACCGTATCAGTCCAGGTCTTGATTGACCCACCTCGCTTTTGATTCCAACCATCACACGATTTAGCAAATAATAACGAAATATGCGTCAACTCGTGTGGTGGACGACGGAGAATGTGCCCTAACCAGCGAAAGCGGCGTTCAGTGATAACATTATTTATGCAAGTGGTATTTGAACGAAGGTGGATGCGATGTAGTGAGATTTTATCCACTCGGCGAACCCGTAATATGTACCTTAGACAAGAGTGGTCAAAGGCAGATAATTTCTTAATATCCTCCACTCTCAATGGTCATCATGTCTCAGAACCATATAATAAGATCGAACGAATCACGGCTTTATATATGCGGACTTTCGTTTTTATGGTGATTTCACGACGGCTCCATAAAGGTTTCGTCAACCGGAAGAACGCATTTCTAGCTGCCGTGATCCGAGTTATAATATCATCTTTTGCCTGCCCATTTGGTATTAGAGTGGACCCAAGGTATTTGAAATCAGGCACTTCCTCAACCGAATCGAATCATCATAATGTTCTTCACTGTGTCTAAGAATGTTGCGTTCCACTTTCAATAATACGTTTATAATGAAATCGTCTAACATCATTCCCTTAGTAAGGGTTTCCAGTCATTTCTCTGCAATATTTTAATGATATTATTGTCCTTGTTTGCTCCTGGGATTATACAGGCAGTTACGCAATTGCTGCTTTTCCATTTTCCACCTCGTTCTTTGCACAATAAAAATGTTACCCTCGAAAAATTTGGCGTTCATTTGCAATGGAGTGCTTTTTTCACCTATTCTATTCCTACCCTGTTGTTCTTGGTCTTTTGGTATTCATCGTTCCAGATCGATTTGCACTTCCTTGGACTATTTGCTATATTTTGAAATTAGCCGTATTTTATTTCATTTCTTTGGCCTTAGTTGCCATACGAATTTGGTTCTTCAGCTGCTTGCATGCTCTTACCACATCATATATTTCTCATTGTTCACATCTATTGCTCTGACAAACATTTGGGCGTAAATTTGCAGTAATTCGGATTTGACTAACATAAGTAGAATTTTATGTCCCGCTTTGTGGCTTTCCAATTATTATCACCAAAATTTTTACAATAAATAACAAAAAATTTTAAATTTTTACAATAAATAATTCGTTTTTATGTATTTGATGTATATTCTTCAATTTGCTCATCCAAAGCTCTCAGTGCTTATGGTGTAATTCTCGTCGATTGCCGCCTAATATGAAATTGTTGATCTAGTTTTGCCTTTAAGATAGCCTAATAAATAACAGATTTTTTGCAAAATGTTTGGTACCTTGAGTCGTCCACCATTCTTTTAAATTATGATATGCATTTGCTTCCCATTTATTGTGGTTGCCATCAAATTTTCATTGAGAATTATATTTGATTTTAGATAATCTATTATTTTCGGAATCCGTCTCCTTTGAGCGAAATTGAAGTTCATTTCAATTTTGCTGAGTTTTCATCATAGTTTCATGTTCCGATTTCCGATTCTATCTCTGTAATCGGTCGGAAAAGATTTTGAATGTATAAATGGGCCAGCAATATATGGACTTAAATAATAGAAAAAAGAATGGCCCCTATTACTGTCGACGATGGCATCAGATCACGCCGCTTGGAAGCGTTTTTCCTTTGTAGTCGTTGGAACCCTAATGGTGAGAGCTGTTAGAAGAAGAAATGAAATCGTTAATTACTTTTCATAGGGGCGTTTCTTCAAAAGAAATTTCTTCCAAAAATTTCCTTTGAATTATTAGCCGTTTACGCTATTGGCCTTATTCGACCACTCTATCCTAATCCACTCATTTGCTTGTTAAGTTCTTTTTCTTTACTTACACATTACCTCGATCCTTGCACCAATCTGCTTCATTTTCCATTTTATTATATTACACTCGGGCAATTCGTTTTCTTTTATGCCAATTTAATTTTCTGCGATTATATTGATTTTGATTATTTTGGTAAAAATCAATCTTAAATTGCAATCCCAAATCTCAAATTTCCAGTCCTATTGTGATGCTTCAAAAAGGTTGGCAAAAATCGTTACTTAAATAAATGGAAAAAGGTAAATCGAGAAATCGCATCGCAAATTAACATTTGACTTGTCTAAAAATGTCTATTTTTGCCAAAATGAACACATGTCTAAAAATCTTTCTTCGCTGATTTCGTTTGCAGTTCAAATAATCCAGTATCATCCGCTGAATCCACATGTAATTTTAAAAAAAATGAAATCGGCTATGGAATTAGATTTTTCTGAATTACCATCCCTTAAGATAATCTCACGAATTTCTCTTAAATTGTCGTTTATTTCTACTGATTAAAAATCGTGATCGTAAATCCCAAACCATGGGCAACTAATTTATCCAAATAAATAAAAAAAATAACGTATCAATCGTATAATCAACAAATAATAAATAATCGCATTAATAACAAATAAGCACAATAAAAATTCTTTATATATATATATATATATATTTACAAAGGCACCAATTTAGTTTTCGCACCGTTGTTCTAAAAATTTTCATTCATTCATTATTTATCCTTTTTATCATTATGTTTAAAGATTTTCAAAAAATGGTTACTTTTTTTCAATCGATTTCTTTCAGCGATTTTCTCTAATTTCTTAGATTTCTTTTGGTACTAACATCGAAATCTCCGTTAATATGGCAGGTTTTTTTGATTTTTTTTGAAGATTTCTTCACATCATATTTTTATATAAAATTTGAAAAAAAAACTTAATTCATTCAGTACAATAAATCACTTTAAAAAAAAGGAAAAAGCCTGGAAATATTGACATGACAATAAACATTGAAGAATAGAACATAGAAATTTAAAAGTAAACAAAAATTGTCAAGAAATAAAATCGAGCAAATTTTTATATGAGCTAAAAAACTAGATCCTGTCAGAAACAAGTTGTAAAATAATTGGTCAATAATTTGTCGAATTCAAAATCTTTATTTTCCTGATATAACTGTTCACATGCTTCCTAAGTTCATAGATGAATCGAGAAGTAAATCATAATTCATATAAAGCCAATAGCTACAACAGTTTTAAGCCCTATGGTGCTACTATGGTCCTCTTTATGCTCCCTTTATGCTTCTAAATGATCCATTTCTGTTATCAAATCCTGTGGTCAAAAAAGTCAAGAAAACATTTAATTATGGCTTACTTTTAGGCTTATAATATATTGATGCGCATTCAATAAGTCTTTGCCATAAATTTTGATTTTTTAAAATTCCAACATAGAGCCTAGCGCCATACTCTTGATTCTTCCATGTTAAAATTTTCATTCTTACAGCTCACTTGAAATACTAATTTTTAATTAATCATTAATGCATTTAATCATTAATTTCTCATATATTGAGTTATTTACTTTTTCTTATATTATCTTGGTGAATATATTGTAAGGCTTGAATTATATATAAATAGTCGTAACAGCTATACGTGAAATTCTTTCTAGAATAATGGAATAGACCATAGAAAAGACAATTAAAAAGTGATCTTATATTTTCGAATTTTTTACAGTAAATTTTCCGTAAAATTATTGATGCTCATATTTTACGAAAATTTTGTCAAAATTATTTTTAGAAAACCAGTTTCATTTGAATTATATTAATTCATATTTCAAATGAAAATTTTTGAAAATCAATTGAATGTTAAGCAATGATTTGTAATCATTTGAAAGTTTTCTCATATTCAAATACTATGAGTACTTAGTTCCATAATTTTCAGATTTTTATGTCAAAAAATTTTTTTCTAAACGACAAGTATACCTTTATGCAGCCGAGAGGTAGGAGACAATTGCCTTGGATGTATTTTTTTTCGAGATAATTGTTAGAAATTATAACTAGACAAAACGAAAAAATTTTATTGAACTTTTTTCTTTAATTTCCAGAAATATGGAAAATTTTTGTTGTTTTCTTCATGGAAATAATAAATTCTAAGTCCATATTTATATTTTTAACGGATGAATGAAAATAAAAAATAAAGATTTAGGAGGAAGATTTAAATTACAATTTTTTATAGATGATTTTTGACATCTGTATATACAGATATCTAAGTTTCCTGTCAAAAGAAGCACAAATTTTAGTAAAACCATAAAATCAAAAAGATGAAAAGCACTTTCAATGTACAATAAATGTTTAAAACTAGCTTTTCAGGATCGACATCGACTGATACAAATAATTCTAGAATGAGGTGCCCGTATATGCTTCCCTGTTGTACCATCATCATGCAATGCTGACAAAAATGGAAAGAACTGAAAGTTCCAAACATGTAATTTAAATGAATAAGTTTTGCTATTTGTAACTAAATTGTTTGTAACTAAATTGAAAAGATTTTGCTCTAAAAGAATATTTACTTTAAAATTTGTGGAACTTACTTGCCAAGGATGACATCCATCCAAAGGATGATCAGACCAGGCATCATCAGTTTTAAGTGGTCGACTAAAGTCAACTGATAAAACAGCATTTGAAAATAAGACCCTATTTAGCCGTATGTTTTGCTTTTGATCAACAACAGTTGGTCCATAACCACGTACACTCTCGTCTTTCACCGTTATCCGATCACCAATTATTCGAACAATAATAGCGTCGAGACCACTAAGCTTTAAAATATTTAATCCTTAAGTCTTAAGACCCAGAAAAAATTCGAAATTCAAGGAAAATATGGAAAAAAAATTGAACGTATTAAAACTGGTGATGAAAATGTATGGTTTCACTTCCAAAAATTCTAATTAATCGTTTCAAAAATTATTTCCATTATCTTTTATAGAAATTTACCATTGTTTCTCCGAATGCAACACCTGTCCAAGCATTCGTTCTTAATGGATATTTCGTATAGTTTAATTGAAAATAAATATTATTTTCATTATCCAGAATCCATGATAATATGTATGCATTTTGTTCAAAGCGGCATACGCAGAGTCCATCTTAAAATAACGATTATATGATAGGTAATCAATTATTAATCATACAGGATGGTACTAGGATCCATCTGAACTAAATCTTCAGATGATTTCTCTTGCAAAGGGGATATTCTAATAACCAGTCCAATCGAACCGGTGAATGCTAAATTTAGTAAATTAATGACTTTAATTCGACATATCAACGATTTTACTGCAACGAAATATGAAAGCTGTTTTATAGAGTAATATAAGGCCGATTTTCTTCCGTCAAAATAGGAAAAATTTCAAAAAATAAAAGTGTAATAATAATAGTTTTCATTCAAAATATTTGATCACTAAATATTTTTCATATTCTCCCAAATATCTATTAAAATATGAAAAAACATAATTTTGATCTGTAAAAATTTGTTGCAAAATTTGTTTCTAATAAAATTAAAAAACTTTATAGAAATAAATAAAATTGAAATTTATAATTCGCCTATGGTTAAAATGAAATTCTTACCTTGAATTACTACTACCAGAAAAGCAAGTACCAGTGGTTTCATCTATATCTAAAAATAACTGAAGCAGTAAAGGCAGCAGACTTTTAAGGAATTAAACAGTGAACTTATTGTTTATATTAAATAGCGAAAATACCCAACAGTTCATTATTTCAAAAATTCATAAAAAATCACAATGATGGAAATCGCGAAAATTGGCAATTTTAATGTAAATAATTCATTAAAAAGGTTCCTAACTTGGCTAAATTAAAGCTGACTATTAATATAAACTAATATCATAAGAGCAGGCGCATTTGCTTAGATTAAACATCGACATAAAAGAGCCATATTGGGAATTGAGGTAAAAACAGAATGTATGTATATACATTAGAAAATAATTTTAAAATTCTAATGTGAACTTTCAATTCTTTTTTTTCGATTTTCAAAACTTATTTTATTTTATGATTTTTATTTTTATGAATTTTCTCGTTATGAATAAATGTGAAAAGCATAAACAAATTTTTTCCTTAGCTGAAAATTTAGTTCAAAAAAATCGCAACATAAGCTTCTGGGAGAAAGGGTGAGAATGGCGATGTTCGCGACGATGTCCTAAGGCGATAAAATTTTAAACACCAGTCCTGTCAGACGATGATTTTCAAATGCTATTAATTGCCATTAAAAACTGGCAGCTCATAAATCTATAGGAATTTCCCAGTTTTTGATCATTGCATTGCATTCATAATGCATTTCATTTCATGTAAAAAAATAGAAGAATTAAAATTCAAGAAATTTGAACCGCTTCCATTAAAGTAACAAACTGAGTTTTTTCACCATTTAGTTCTATCTTTTAGTAAAAAGTATGAATTTATAAAATGGTAAATAATTACAATTAGCAATTAAAACTACTCTATTCCTTATCCTTCTTTATCCTCATTACGTAATCCTTCTTATATTAATTCGCGTCATTACTGGTTTGGCTGGCTCCACTAGCGGCTTGAAAACTTGATTCTAATGATGTTCTTTTCTCCTTGTGATAAAATCAAACTAATGACTCAAATAAAACTTTTTAGCATTGAAATGCAAAAATGATAAAAGGATAGAACTTGTTTGCAGCATCGAAACTTTATTCGGATATTTCTAAATTAAATCACAAGTATTGCAAAACATAAATAAACCGGTTTTAATGGATTTGTTATGTAATGTGCAAAAAATTTTACGAAAAATTTCTTTCAAATAATATGTTGTATTAAATGAATGGCTTTTCAAAATGACATGTGTGACTTCCTATTTTAAAAAAAAAACTGTCTAATAATGTCCAGCCAAATTATATACATATATTAATAAATCATTAATTTAATACGAAATATCTTACTGGTTCACCAGATACCGAATATTTCGAAGAATTACAACAACTGGAAGCATGGTGGGACAGAAATAGCTACTGGAGCGATATGGCCTGGAGAATGGAGACAGTGGCTCGGCAATAAGAAACTATTCTATCTTCATAAAGCAATTCGGGGAATCAGTGAAATTGTACGAGATAGTAATGCAATACCTCTTAAAAATATTATGGATCATCGCTTTATAAGATGGAAAGAATTTTTTGAGGACAACTTAACCATGATGCCCCATCTGTTGACCTGGATATAGCTGATACGTTCGTATAATATAATATTATAAAATTATACAATAAGATAGTATAATATTAGGTTTGTATTCGACAGAAATAAACCTGCCAAAAATCCGGCCGGCTGCTCCTGATCCACTTATAACTCTATTCCCAAGTTACTCTATGGTGAAACGTTGGAGTTTCTTGGAATATTTGTGTGGCATTATTTTGCTTTTTAAAATGTAATTATAAAAGTACATACATATATATAATATTTTAGGAAATTTCAATGACATGGGATATATCTCGAATTTCTGAAAGAATTTATAAATCTGAGTTTGTTTCACGATTGAACCAAGGAGCTCTAATATAAAAAAGTTTTATGCTGGTGCAGTTGTACACACGGCACATGGATAATGTGATTACTATGTTGAGAATTCAATTCTTTTGCCTTTGCTTTGTGTAAACATGTCTTTCAAAACTTCTGTAAGGTTAAAATAATGCTACTGGAGGTTTACGATGCCTTAAATAGACTTAAGCCGTCCATTTCAGCTGGTCCCGATAATATTCCACAAATATTAAATTTTATAAAAAATGTGCAGTTTCAATGAGTCTTTCACTACTTTTAATTTCTAAGGATATTATGAAATTTGGCCTTAATCCCAAAATTTGGAAATTGTCTCATATAATTCCCATCCATAAAAAAAGAAGACCTATGACCCTTCTAATTATGGACCCATTAGCCTAATATGCGTTGGTAGCAAGGTACTCGAAAGGTTGATTTGCAACAAATTGGTTACTTATCTTGGTGCCAATAATTTTATATCCTCTTATCAGCATGGCTTTTGCACAAAAAAATCCACTTCTTCCCAAATATTGACAAATCTTTCCGATTGGTCTGCATCAATTGATAATGATAATATCAGTTGTACACCTAGATTTGGCTAAAGCTTTTGATATTGTTTCTCATTGCAAATAATCACTCTTAATAGTTATGGCATTACAAGGGCCCTTTATAACTGGGTGTCAGATTGCATAAAAGATCGTCACCAAGCCGTACTCGTTAATAACACTTTTTCTGGCACAACACCTATTAAATCTGGTGTTTCCCAAGGTAGTTATATTGCACCATTGCTTTTTCTATTGTATATAAATGATATCATCAATGTGGTACTAAATTCCACCATTTATTTTTATGCTAATTTATGCTGATAACTGTAAAATTTATTATCCTCATGGTAGAAAGATAGCCTCTTTGCACTGCAGAAGGATCTTAATAGAAGAGCCAACTAGTTATATAACAGGCAAATTACTCTTTATTTTCAAAAATAATTGAAAGACTCCAAAAATAATTTATACGACGCCTCTCTCCTAATTTTAATTATAAAATTCTTATATAATTCTTATAATTATAAAATACTCTTCTATAATATAACCTGGATTCTCTCTCAATTCGTCTTAAACAAGATTTAATTTATATATACTATACTTATAAGATTCTACGGTTATATTAAACTAGATTGTTTACAATATTATAATTTGAGGCTAAATTTGAATCCAACAAGAACTAATGGGCTGAAATTACTAAAACCTATGTGCAAACTAAATTAAGGACTCGTAACTTCTTTATTCGTACTATTAATTACTGTAATAAATTACCGAACGATATAGCTTGTGCGTCATCTTTAGCTATCTTTAAGAAAAGATGATATCATTTATGATATTATTTAAAAATTTTACATCATGCAGGAAATGTGAAATCTCGACTTTTACCACCCGACTATAATAATAAAATAAAATACTTTTATCAAAGTGACTCTCGGGCAAATACCTAAGCTATTAAGGGAAATATATATAACAAATATTTTTTTATTTCTTCCAAGGAGCCATTGTAGATATAGGCCAGCACCATCAGGATTTTTGAAAGAAGCTTACTCATGTCAAAGGTAGAATTTAAATAATTCACCCAAATTTTTCCCTGAATTTTTTTTTTTAAATTCATAAGAGTCTGATTGATTTCTTTAGAGTTTAACAGTTCATTGACACCTAACTAGAAACATGCCTAAATGCTATGCGCTCAAATAAGAATAACCATATAAAAGATAGAAATAATTCAAGAGTCAAGTATAAACTAGATTAATCATTCAAGTGTTATAATCTTAATCATGTTTCTCGTTGAGATTGACAGTAGTTTTGATATTGTTTTCGCTACGATTTCAACGTTTCGCCAGAAAATATTTCTGGCTGGAACTGTCTGGGATAGAATTTTTCCTTTCCGCTAGCCATAAGGTTGAATTTAAAATATCTGGAAAGTGGTCATAGTATTGCTTAGATGTCCTATGGTCGCGTTTATTTTATCAATGTATATACGGTGCAAAGTGAAATTTCGAAATATGACTTAAAACTTCATTGTGCTAGTTTTACTATTTCAACAAAGGAGGGAGCTTATATTTAAAAAACCAACAGAAACCAACAACTAATGATATTCAGCTTCAGTTCCAAAGGAGTGAAAAAAACAAAACGAATAAAACACATACAATATACAAAAATGGCACTGTTATCAATGTTATCAAAAAATTAAACAGCAAATATTTAACTGAATAATTACATTTAAATGATAAATTACTAAACCAAATCACAATAATTATGATTCTCTCTTCCAAATAACACTAAACAAGAAGAAAAAACGAAAAAAAGTTTCTAGAAAAAAACAAAGTGTATTATATATATATATGTTATATAATATATATATTATATATATAATATATATAATATATATTATATATATAATATATATAATATATATTATATATATATGTTATATATATATATATATATATATATATATAACATATATATATATATGTATATATATATAATATATATATTATATATATATATGTTCAGTGACACTGCAGCCCAACAAAACTTGGTCGAATTCAAACTTGAATCTTCTCAAATATTTCAAACATCTCACCAAAGCACCTTTAACATTTGTAATTTGTAATTTAAAGGAGTATGACTTTTGACATGTAAGAACAGGAATTGAATCGAGGCTAGCACCTACTTTTTTAGAAGATTAACTCTAAAATTCCTAGGCCTCTGGGAGAAGACTCGAGGAAGGTTCATACCACTTGTGAGGAGGAAGTCTTTAAATAATATATAAGTAGAAAATAAACGAAGGCATTAAAAGTGATAACAAGAAAATACAAAGATCAAAGCATGAAATCACCATTTCAGAAAATCTAAAAGAAAAAACACGAAACATGATCAAAAAAATAATCGCACAGAAACTTTTTTTTGAATGGCACAAAACTGATAAATCCATAGGTGATAGTAAAATGAAATATTAGAATTATAATAGAAGCATTCCGTTTCATTTTCTGTACCTAATTTTTTGATTGAGATGAAGACTAATTAAAATGTAAAGTCAAAAATCTGAAAGAAAATACATAGATTTAAATGTGCCACATTCCACTCTATTTACAATAAATCAATAAAATTTATGCTTGAAATATGCACAATATTTTCATCTCGTATAAAAAACCATTCTTGTATAATTTAATTAATCTGTTCCACATTTGAGCTCAAGAAACAATTATATGTATAAAAAGGCATTAAAAAATAAACTTATTTGCATTATAAAACGTAGATAATTCGCCAAGCAAGAAATTCCCCCTTAAAAATAACGATAAATCAAAAAATTACTGGTAAAATATCAAAGTACAGACTAAGAATTCTTTTTAGTAGATACAGGCGTTGCTGGAACTGAAGCTGCTGCAGCAGCAAGCGATGAAAAAGATGACTTTCTTGAATCCAATGAAGCAACTGATCCTCTAAAACAATTTCAGTACAATAAAAAATCATAAAAATTACTAATGATGAAAAAATTACTTGAAATCAAGTGCATTAAGTAATTCATGGTAATACATAAATTTGCATTTGTGATGTGATATAGAAAAATCAAATGATTGACTGATAGCTGCTTCTATATAACGCCACTGTAGAATATAAGTACCAGCTCTTAAACAATAATGCGATCCTTGCATTGAATCGCCCTCAGCGAACTGAACGGGTTTTTCTTCAACGCTATAACAAAATATTTTAATATATAAACGAACAGTGAACATACTACACAAAAACAAAAAAGAACATGCTTATTTGTAATTCTTTTGAAATATACCTTAAATCAACTCCAATACTAAGTTTTGGATCCGAATAAAGAGTGGAAGTCAAAGAAGTTCCAATAGCTTGGGTAACTATTTCCACTGGCGATAATACTGAAGGCGAACCAGGATGAGGAATTGGTTCAAGCAACTTTTCCGTTGAATATATTACAAATTCACATTCTCCCTGCATTTACTATTAATAGTTATAAATTTTTGTTTTAGATTTATTTCAAATTCATAACCAGCGAATTTTTTTGCAATGATAAAAATAAAACATACCTTTATGATATCAAAATCCCAAGTTAATACGCAACCTCTGATAGGAACTTTTACAATAACTTCGTAAGGTACACCTTTATATACATTGGCTGATTGATAAGTAGAAGATAGAGCATCGTCGTCATCCAAACCAATCTTTAAAAATAGCGCACATTATGCTGCCAGAGCAATAATTAAGATACCTTCTGAATAATAAATCAAAATAACACTTATTGTAAGATTCCTTTTATCCTTTTTTCGCTGTTAGAAAAAAACTCACACAATCAACGCTTCTATAAAGACTTTTGGGGACGTGGCCAGCATCCGATGCTTTACATGGGCACGGACCACCAAGAAAATCGGGAACATATTTTTCGTCAATATATTTTGCTAATTCAGCAGGGAGGGATTCACTGGCGTTCACCATAAATTTTTTCCGCGTATTTTCATTAATAAATGGTGAAATTAATGTCCACAAAACGGGAAATATCCGTGGTGCGCGAGCAATTAACACTAGACCCATTGTTTCTGGATAATGAGCCTCAGCAATTTCGATAATACGCAGCAATGCTTGTATGCCGGGCCGCCAGAGATGTCGCATACTCAATCCATCGACATCAACCAAGAGTGTCCAGGTACTGTAAAAAGCGGAAAGAAAGAAAAATAAAAATGAATTTTTTTAAATATGAACTTTAATAAATGAACTTTTTTAAATATTATCTTTTTGAAAAAAAATCTCGAAAAAAAATGTGAAATCTTCATACTGTCTTCAGTAACGATATAATTTTTATTTCGAGTTTATAATAAAGGAAATTTCATAATCAAAAATTTGGAAATAATACAAACCTTATAGGTACACCTCGATTGCGAGTAGCTTCTATTGTTTTCAGTAGACCTTCCTCAATAATGGAAAGTGTAAATTTAACAATTGTTTCCAAACCGAACGCTCTCAGAAGACCCTTCACATCTAATCTTCCAATACGTAAAACAAATATCGGCCTGTAATTTATCGAATATTTAAATTCATTTCAAAAAATGAGAGAAATCTAACAGAGAAATTTTCCAGCATTATTTTAAGTTAATGCACTATGCAAAATCTTTTCCTTCTTCTTCGTATACTATTACTGGTTAGACTGTTTCCGCTGGTTACAAGGGTAAGATGTTTCCATACCGTTCGATTCGATGCCAACGTCGACAGTAATGGAAGCCATTCCTTTTCCATCGTCCATATATTGCGCTGGTCCACCGATACGTTCAAAACTTTTCCTGACCAGTCAGGTCTTGATTGGACCACTTCGCTTTTGACTCAACCCAACACAGAGTTTAGCAAATAACGAATTATGCGTCAACTCTTGGAGTGGGAAACGAGGAAGGCCCCTAACCAGCGAAAGTGATGGTACTGTTAATGCAAATGATACATGAACAAAGTTAGATACGAACTATGCAAATTGATTTTATCAAATTCCTAAATTTCACTAGATGATATTTTTGTTTAATTTCCTCACCTGCCATCTTTATCATTATAATGCCAACAGCCAGGAAAGAAATGCAATAAGTTGGCTGGAGGCTGAAAATCTTGCAAAATTTTATCCACATTATGCTGCTTACGCCAGAGCAAACTTTTCTGCACCATTTCACTAGCCCTTACAACATCAAAATCTCGTGCCCGTAAAAATCGCAGAAGATGTGCATCGTTTGGCAATTTCCCCTGAAGAATGCAAAATATAACATTGAAAGAAAAAATAATAATAACAGAAAAAAGTAACAGAAAAATAACAGAAAAAATGACAAATATTTAAATTAAAAATTGTTGGAAAATACTTTATGTGAATAATGAAGACCATATTTTAGTTCACATAATCGACTTTCCTCAAGTGGACTTAACTGACCAAGAAAGCGCCTGATATAATCTGCTTCAAGTTTTGTATCGGCTGTAAAAATGTAGATAAAAACATAAGTGAAAGATAATTTTTTTTTTGAGAGCTTACTATTCGTGGTTAAGTTCTTGCTCCGCTGGCATATTGGACAAATTTTGCCAGATAATCGACCCAGATTTTTAAAAGATAGGTTGATTCTTACAAGGAATAGAACCCCAGAAATAAATTATTAAAATAAAAACCAAAATTGATTATTCCTATAACAATCCAAAAAACTTTCTATTACTTAAACTTACTTTCTAAACTAAAAACTTACTGTCGACGATGGCATCAGACTGCGTCGCTTGGAAGCGTCTTACCCTTATAGCCGTTGCAGCCAACCTGACCAGTAATATGAGAGCTGTTAGAAAAATCCAAAAAACTATCGCCAATTTTTATCAAAAAAGCATACGTTCGTCGACTGAGATTTGACGAATTTTGTTACGATGGATAATGCTTGTCTTTCGCGTCGTTTTCTTATCATCATCGCATGGTTTGAAACTATTAACTGCAGAATCAGCATCTGCTTCTGTAATATCACTGAATGGCGGTATAAACGTCACACCACTTTTAATAAGTTCATCGATGAAATGCTCCATCACCTCTTTGCCCTAAATTGAAAATTTTGCCTTTAAAAATGGTTATTATTTGAAAAAAAATTTGCAGATGAAATTTTTGGAGGTCGACTATTTATAAGCCAACAATATGACTTCAGTTCAGTGAAATGATATGAAAACTCTAACTCTATCACAAAATGAGTCCAAACAAAAGTCATTTATCAAAAATTTTTATTTCGCTCAGTACTGTGGATTTTGCATTCATCAATCTACTTTTAACATTAAAAAAATAATAATCGACCTTTGCAAGATTAGCAGCATAATGTTTAACTGCCAATTTTTCAACTGTGGGTTCGAAACCAAAAAACGATTTCACATCAAGCGATCCACTTTGTTCAAAACATGTCCATTCACAATTATCAGGATGAACCTTAATAATAACCCATCAGATACCATGAAAAAAACTATTACATCCTCACTTAACTAGTGCACTCAACTTTTAGTAACGAACATTTTTCTATTTTTCTATTTTTTTTCTATTTTTTTTAAAGAACTTGGAAGCGAAAATAAGTATTTCATAGCTTGATTTGAAAACTCTGACAAGTTAAAAAAATTGAGCGATAGAAAATTTACATAATACATGCAAGTTTCCTTGATTTCGATACGACTTGCAAATGAGATATTTGATGCTTCTATAAGGAGAGTCCGCTTTCGTCGATTTAATGAATTTTTTTGCGTAAAATACACATAATCTACGCCAGCTATCTTTAAAAAAATAGACAAATTTAAGTATTCAATAAGAAAATTGCAATTTATGGCTTAAATTGACCAAAATTAACATTCAAATTAACATTCATACTTGTCCGCATCCAATTATAAATTCTTAACTGAGAAACTCGAACCAGTAATTTTCGTCTTAAATTATATTTTAAAAGAAATATTTGGAGAAATAATTGGAAGAATTTAAAGAAACAAAAATAAAATTCTCTTTAATCAATTTTAAATATTTTTAAATATAAAAATATTTTAGCTCTCTATCGATCATTTTACTTTTTTCTCTATTGTTAACTTTAAGAATAAATCATATTTAACCCCTAAAACTTCGAAGACTAAAGAAGAAAAAAGGAGTCGTAAAAAAACAAAATATAAAAAAATAACCTTTTTTAAAAGATAGGGCGCATCAACGTTTAGCTGACATTTACGCTCAATGATTTCTTCTGCACCATCTTCCGAATGATACTCATAAGTAATTTCAGATCCAACAAAAATAGGGATTTGAGGACAAGTTGGAAAGCGTCTCTCGTAAGCCTTAAGGTCAAACTGCTATATATTCATAGTTGAGTTGTTAAATAAAAAACGATATTTTCTTTTTCCTAGATAACTAGAAAGAAAAAAATTCCGCTTATAACCCTACAATTCAAAAAGAAAAATAAAGCACAGAAAAAAACCAACAGCCATAACTATCTCGAAAGAATATTTATAAATTCTAACTGGACTTTGATATGTTTGGACCATTTCTTTCCAATCCTAAAAGAAAATCTATCAATTTAGAAATAAATTTTGCAAACAACCAACGCATTAAACTGAGATGCACGATTGAATCCAACTATTACATATCTTCGCTAATTATAGGTAAATCATTAAATGAAGGAAATATTTTTTCAAACAAAAAATAATAATGACGGTAAATATACGAATCATTTAAATGAATCTCTTAAAACAGTTTCAAATAATGACAATAATGATTGATGTTTTCTCGTTGAATTTCAAATATTGTCCCTTATTAAATCATCCACAATTTCTCTGAGTCTTCTATTTTTAATTTATAAGGACATTATGAAATCTGCCTTAATCCCAAAATTTAGAAATTGTCTCATATAATTCCCATTCATAAAAAAAGAAGACCTATGACCCTTCTAATTATGAACCTATTAGCCTAATATGCGTTGGTAGCAAGGTACTCGAAAGGTTGATTTGCAATAAATTGATTACTTCTCTTGATGCCAATAATTTTATATCCACTTATCAGCCGTTGCATGGCTTTTGCACAAAAAAATCCACTTCTTCACAAATATTGGCAAATCTTTTCGATTGGTCTGCATCAATTGATAATGATAAAAAGGCGCTTTGTGATAACATTATTTATGCAAAACAGTATCAGTTGTATATCTAGATCTGGCTAAAGCTTTTGATATTGTTTCTCATGCAAATTACTAATCACTCTTAGTAGTTATGGCATTACAGGGGCCCTTTATAACTGGCTGTTGCATAAAAAATCATCACGCCATACTCATTAATAACACTTTTTCTGGCACAACACCTATTAAATCTGGTGTTCCCCAAGGTAGTTGTATTACGCCATTGCTTTTTCTATTATATAAATGATATCACCAAAGTGGAGCTAACTCTACCATTTATCTTTATGCTGATGATTATAATTAATTTAATTAATTTATAACATTCATCATTATTCTCATGGTGGAACAGATAGCCTATCTCCACTGCAGGAAGACCTCAAGAAAATAGCCAACTGGCTATATGATAAGCAAATTACCCTTTCTTTTCAAAAGTGTTGCATTCTTAATTCTAAAGGTATCGATTTTCCTCTTTTTATTTATTTATTGAAAACCAGCCAAGTAGGGCAAATACTTAATAACAACAGTTAAAATAACAAATAATTCTTTTTCTTCTAACAGCTCTCACCATTACTGTTTAGGCTGGCTCCAACGGCTACAAGGGTAAGACGCTTTCAAGCGGTGTAGTCTGATGCCATTGTCGGCAGTAATGGAAGCCATTCTTTTTTCCATCGTCTAAGTACATATATTACTGGTCCACCTATACGTTCAAAATCTTTTTTCACCGTATCAGTCCAGGTCTTGATTGACCCACCTCGCTTTTGATTCCAACCATCACACGATTTAGCAAATAATAAATATGGTCAACTCCTGTGGTGGACGACAGAGAATGTGCCCTAACCAGCGAAGGCGGCGATTTGTGATAACATTATTTATGCAAATGGTATTTGAACGAAGATGGATGCGATCATGTGATATGTGATATCCGCTCGACGGATCCGTAATATGTACTTTAGACAAGAGTGGTCAAAGGCAGATAATTTCTTAATATCCTCCACTCTCATTAGCCATGTCTCAGGACCATATAGAGAGATCGAACGGATCACGGCAATATAAATGCGGACTTTTGTTTTTATGGTAATTTAACGACGACTCCACAAAGGTTTCTCAACCGGAAGAATGCATTTCTAGCTGCCGTGATCCAAGTTATAATATCATCTTTTGCCTGTCCATTTGGGATTAGAGTGGACCCAAAGTATTTGAAATCGGGCACAACCGGCAGTAAATTTACAAAAAGAGGCGTTTGATCATCTTCTTGCACATAAGACGAAAAGGCTTTCGCTTTATTTACATTAATCCTGAGTCCGATTCTTGCTGCAGTTTCTAACACGTTACTTTAGCATTACTTGCATTTCGTCATAACTATCAGCAAAATGGACTACATCATCAGCGTACAAATGTGATACGATACTCTGGACTAATATGGATATGGACACCTCTTGTGTGCTGACAAGCGGTGTCCATATTTTCCAATCTATCACAAAGTTAAATATTGTAGGGGAAAAAACGCAGTCTTGACGAACACCAGTTTTTATTTTGAAGAAGTATGTCAGTTCCCCATATATACAGACTTGCTCTGACGTACGCTCATAAAATCCCTTTATGAGTCTAATGATTTTCTTTGGAACACCGCCACGTTCCATCATCCTCCAAAGCGCCGCTCTATCAATTGAATCAAAGGCAGCCACAAAGTCGATGAAACATGCGACAGTGGGTTGCAAATATTTGAAGCGAACACCCTTCAAATATTTCCAATACTCTTCCTAACGTGAATATCTGGTCAGCACAACCGCGTTCTGGAACCAGCTTGATTAGGGCGCAACCTGCTCTTCCGTATTTCCATAAGTCTGTTGAGTAGGAGGGAAGCAAAAATTTTTTCTCAGAATGACAAATAATAAGAATTAATGACAAAAAATAAAAAAATAGAAAAAAATAAAAAATAAAAAAAGCAAAATGGTAATATAATCAGTTTAAATTTCATTGTCAATTTTATTATTTTCTTCAGATTTAATTTTTTTTTTGTCTTTGGCAGGAGTAAACCTGCTATTGTGTCAAAAATCCGGGTGGCTGCTGGGGACCTGTAATTCTATCCCCAAGTGATTCTATGGTGAAAGGGTCAGATACATTTGATACGGCGTCCGCGTCTCCTGACCCGCATAATACTTCGAGCCCGGTGGTATATGCGATAAGTTTACAATCTGGACTTAAAGCGATCCCAAGGCTGGTAAATAAAATGTGCTCTCAAGCCAGGGTAATTGCTCGAAACCTATCAAGAGGAACAGCCCTCTGCACGCGTGGCGAGGTAATAGCCGTATCAACGTGGAACATCAGAACGCTTGTGGCGTTACAAGCCAAGCGATCACTGTCCACACCCTGTCTAAGTATCGTGAGGATATCGCTTATTTGTCAGAAGTCCGAATTCCTCACTTTGGGTCTCGAGAAATTATTAATCCTGGTTCAGAGCAGAGATATTGGCTATATCACTGTGGTGCTTCGTATAACTCGGGACGAAATGGCGTAGCGATTGTCATGTCTGACAAGGCTTTGATTGAGTGGGAACCAGTAAATGACCGTATGGCCTATGCCTATGTTTTAAGGATAAGTTCTGCAATATCTCGATCATCAATGCTCCAACGCTATCGGCAGATGACCGTGATAAAAACAAATTTTATGTGGAATTTCAACTACTAACGAAGTCTCAACCGAAACATGGTCATAATCGGGGGAGACTGGAATGCTCGCGTAGGTCATAATGCAATTGCGATGTCCTCAACAATTGGCAAATATGGCATCGTAGACCGGTGTGCCAATGGGGAACGTCTTCTTCGTTATGCCGAAGAGCATGAGCTTTTTGTTACTAATACTTGCTTCCGGCATCATAGAAAACATCTAGTCACGTGGAACTCCTCGGACAACCAACAATTCAACCAGATTGATTATATCTTAGTCAGTCGCCATTGGAAGAGTTCGTACTAGATAGTCGTTCCTATCGCGGTGCTGAAACGGGCAATCTTCATGGATCTGACCATGTTATGGTTCAGTCCGCAAAATCCGTAAAATTAACAGCTGGCAAAAAAAAGCATCCCCAAGATCCTTCAAATTCTCAAACTAAAAAATTCGGAGACAATGAGCGCATTTCAACCGAATTATTGAAGCATCTCAATGATGCAAATATCTATGATTTTTCTGGAACGGCATATGAAAACTGGTCCAAACTAAAGGAATGTCTCCTTAAATTAGCCACTTCTAGTAGGAAGTGCGCTAGTTGGGTATCGGAAGCAGCTGTCCAATTGTCTGAAAAAGCTGCCAAAGCAATGTCAGGTGATCCTGACTACCGGGTGCTTCGAAGATTTGCAACGAAAGCAAAGAGGTAAGAAATCTCTATTGGAGTGACATGGCCTCAAGAATGGAGGCGGCGACTCGATTAGGCGACAATAGGAAACTATTCTGCCTTCTTTAAAGCAACTCGGGGAACGATCAGTGAAATGGTAAGAGACAGCAATGGCTTACAAATTAAAAATATTAAGAATCGCCTCATAAGATGAATAGAAATTTGAGGCCAAACTTAACCATGAAGTGCCATCTGTTGCCCCTGATATAGCTGATACGTTTGCCGAAGCACGTTTGCAATTGCCAGCCTCCAACAGAAGAAGAAATAATTTCAGTTATCCATAAGCTTAAGGCCAATAAGACTCCGGAAGATGGTCTTCGAACTGAGCTTTTCAAATGCTGTCCATCGTTCTTCATAACGCACCTTCAACAAATGTATCTTTAGTATGGAAAAAAAAATATTACCAGATAATTGCGGCAAAGCAATTCTGCTCCCAATTCTCAAGAAAGGTGATAGGACATACTGCGAAAATTATCGAGGAATCAGTCTACTAGACGTCTCAGCAAAAATTTTTGCTTCCCTGCTACCCAACAGACTTATGGAAATACAGGATTTATGGAAATACAGCAGCTCTAATCAAGCTGGTTTCAGACCAGGGCGCGGTTGTGCTGATCAGATATTCACGTTAGGAAGGGTGTTGGAACATGCTTCAAATATCTGCAACCCACTTTCATATTGTTTCATTGACTTGCGGCTGCCTTTGATTCAATTGATAGAGCGGCGCTTTGGAGGATGATGGAACGTGATAGTGTTCCAGAGAAAATCATTAGACTCATAAAGGGATTTTATGAGCGTACGTCAGGGCAGGCCTTTATATATGGGGAACTGACATAATCCTTCAAAATAAGAACTGATGATAAAATAAAAATAAAATGATAAAATAAGAACTGTTCGTCAAGATTGCGTCCTTTCTCCCACAATATTCAACTATGCGATAGACTGGATAATGGACACTGCTTGTCGGCCCTCAAGAAGTGTCTGAATTAGTC